TAAATCAGGTTCTGTACCTTTAGTTTCGTTGCAGCTTGCAGTTTTGTTGTCATTTTATTTGTCAGGAGAAATTTGACATTTCCTCCTGACGTGGGTCAAATGACGTCCCGAACCTAGGAATTTTTGCTCATCTGACCGAGGATTCCCACTGCCTTACTGGTCCACACGGTACGAAATTAAATGTCACTTCGTAAGCTGTGGCTGAGGGCTTTCTACCATATTTATAAAACAAGTGATCATGACACGACAGGGCAAAAAGAATTGCTATGAATGAAGGGGAAAGCAGCAAGTTGCTTTAATCTGTACGTTTTGCTCTATGTAGAGCTTTACCAAGAGACTTAATAAAGCAATACACAAAGCGAAACGTTGTACTAATGGACACATTTTCTCAGTCTGTTTTTATCTCACTGTTGTCAACAGTACGCCTTTGGAATTCACATTTGGGTCCGGCTTGAATTATCAAGTCACAACTCAGTAACTTAATTTGTCAGTTAGCTGTCAACCGTTTTAGCCATGGTTAGGTTAGGTTAGGTAAGGTTCGTCAGGAAACAGCACAAATGTTTCCTGACGCGGGTCTTAGTCAGATGATGACCCGCCTTTGGAGCTTTTGGTCATCTGACCGAGGCCTTCCGCTGGCTTACCGGTCCACCCCTTTAAAAATTATGGTCATTTATAACCAGTGTTATATGTTTTAGCCATGGTATTGAGACTTGCATTCTACACACTTATATACTGCACTAACTTTCAATGCATTCCTATAATTATAATATATACATATACACCTGTAATGCATTCCTTTATATTTTCCTATAATTCTTGATATGCATTTATAATATATGCCAGCATATGTATTTATAATTCCAATGAACATGCTAGAAGTAGTATCTATATAAGCGTTCATATTTGTCTGTATACGTTTTTATATTACCTAGAATAACATGCGTTGAACCTCCCTGAAGCCATTCTAGTTATCAAGGAAGCAGACAGGCGAAGCAGACATTTAGATTCAACACTGATTTCCAGTTCCAAAAATCAAATTGTTTCTTTCAATCCCTGGATCTGCACACACTTAGGCAAATCATCTACTACCACAGTATTGTGAATTATGCCCTTGCCCAGCATTTTATTATCGCACAAAACATTTATTTCCAATCGTAGAGGTGAAAGCTAAAATGATTCTCACTAGGACTAACTCCACAATCACGTAACTACAGATGATGTAATTGGCCCTCTCAGTGTTTTACGAACCTCTCCTCAGCCAATATACAGTATATTCTCACTTGCATACATACACACACACAAAATAATATATATATATATATATATATATATATTATTATATATATATATTATATATATATATATATATATATGATAGCTTCTAACATAAGAAAGAAGCACTGCAACATGTTTATTTATCTTACCATGCTATGCAGGTCTAGCTCACAGCTACTCACGTGAGATTTAAATATATCAAAATAAACTAGTTTAAATATATAGAAAAGTATGACGTACTAGTGGCGACGAGCACTCCTAGCACTGATGACGGGTGTGGTGATGATCGTGGTGTTAGAGGTGCTGCTGGTGTAATGGACGTAGCATTAGTGGTGGTATTAACAGTTGTTGTAGTTCAGTTGATGGTACTAATAGCGGTAGCGGTGGGAACGATGGTGTTGGAAGTTGTCATGGCGATGATACTTGTGCTAGTAGTGCTAGTACTAATAGTGGTGGTGGTACTGGTGTTGGTTGTGCTAGTGGGGTGGTGGTACTTGTGTTGGTTGTGCTCGTGGGGTGGTGGTACTGGTGTTGGTTGTGCTAGTGGGGGTGATGGTACTGGTGTTGGTTGTGCTAGTGGGGTGGTGGTACTGGTGTTGGTTGTGCTAGTGAGGTGCTGGTACTGGTGTTGGTTGTGCTAGTGGGGTGGTGGTACTGGTGTTGGTTGTGCTAGTGAGGTGCTGGTACTGGTGTTGGTTGTGCTAGTGGGTGGTGGTACTGGTGTTGGTTGTGCTAGTGAGGTGCTGGTACTGGTGTTGGTTGTGCTAGTGGGGTGGTGCTATCGGTGTTGGTTGTGCTAGTGGGGTGGTGGTACTGGTGTTGGTTGTGCTAGTGAGGTGCTGGTACTGGTGTTGGTTGTGCTAGTGGGGTGGTGGTACTGGTGTTGGTTGTGCTAGTGGGGTGGTGGTACTGGTGTTGGTTGTGCTAGTGGGGTGGTGGTACTGGTGTTGGTTGTGCTAGTGGGGTGATGGTACTGGTGTTGGTTGTGCTAGTGGGGTGGTGGTACTGGTGTTGGTTGTGCTAGTGGGGTGGTGGTACTGGTGTTGGTTGTGCTAGTGGGGTGGTGGTACTGGCGTTGGTTGTGCTAGTGGGGTGGTGGTACTGGTGTTGGTTGTGTTAGTGGGGTGGTGGTACTGGTTTGGTTGTGTTTGTGGGGTGGTGGTATGGTGTTGGTTGTGCTAGGGGGGGGGTGGTACTGGGGTTTTTTGTGCTAGTGGGGGGTGGG